AGATCTAGAACAAATATTCCAAAACTTTATATGGAACAAAAAAGACATCTAATAGCCTCAGCAATCTAGAGGAAGAAGAACAAAATTGAAGGTGTCACAATACCTAATATCAAACTATTCTACAAGGCCATTATAATCAAAATAGCCTCATACTGGCAAAGGATAGGTATATAGATCAATGGAACAGAACAGACATCCCAGAAATCAACCTAAGTTTTTATGGTCAATCAATATTTAACAAAGAAGACAAGAGCATACAATGGAGTAAAGATGGTCTCTTCAATAAATGGTGCTGGGAAAACTGGAAAGGTACATGCGAAGAAATAAAACTAGACCACCAACTTACACCATACACAAGAATAAACTCAAGTCATGAAACCATAAAAATCCTAGAAGAAAACATAGGCACTTAAATCTCAGACATCTCTTGATATATCTCCTATGGTAAGAGAAATGAAGAAAAAAAAATAAACAAATGGGACTACAACAAATTAAAAAGCTTCTGCACAGGAAAAACAACCATCAACAAAATGAAAAGGAAACCCACTATATGGTGGAACATATTTGCTAATGATACATCTGATAAGGGGTTAATTTCCAACATAATTAAAGAACTTATACAACTCAACACAAGGAAGACAAACAGCCCAATTAAAAATTTGGCAAAAGGACCTCAACAGACACTTCTCCAAGGAAGACACACAGATGAGAAATAGACATATGAAAAAAATGCTCAGTATCATTAATCATCATAAAAATGCAAATTAAAACCACAATGAGATAATCTTCTCACACCTGTCAGAATGGCTATCATTAATAAAACAGACAAAAAGTGTTGTCAAGGATGCAGAGAAAAGAGAACCTTTGTGCACTACTGGTGGGATTATAAATTGGTGCAACCATAGGATGTTCCTCAGAAAATTAAAAATAGAACTACCATATGCCCAGAAAACCCCCTTCTGGGTATTTATCTGAAGAAATACAAACCATTAATTTGAAAAGTTATGTGCACCCTTGTGTTCACTCTAGCATTATTTATAATAGCAAAGTTACAGGAGTAGCCTGTCCATCAATAGATGAATGGATAAAGAAGATGCCATTCAGATCTACAATGGAATATTATTCAGCCATAAAAAAGAAATCTTGCCATTTGTGACAATATGAATGGACCTAGAGGGTGTTATGCTAAATGAAATAAGTCAGACAGAGAAAGACAAATAATATCGTATGATTTTACTTATATGTGAATCTAAAAAACAACAACACATAGAACAGAAACAAACTCATAGAGAACAAATTGATGGTTGCCAGATGAGAGGGGAATTGGGGGGAAGGGTAAAAAAGATGAAGAGATTAAGAATTACGAATTGCCAGTTGTAAAACTAGTCACAGGGATGTAAAGTACAGCATAGGAAATATAGTCAATAACTGTATAATAACTATGTATGATGGCAGATGGATACTAGATTTGTGGAGATCACATCATAAAGTATATAAATGTCTAATCACTGTGTTGCACACCTGAAACTCATATAATACTGCAGGTCAAGTGTAACTGAAAAATAAATTTTAGAAAATGAACCTTGACCATCTTGCATCACACACAACTATTAATTTAAAATATATCATAGATCTAAATATAACAAGCATAATATTCCTAGAAGAAACAGAAGAAAATCTATGCACCTTAGTATCTACACATATTTATTAGGACAAAGAAGTGCAAAGTATAAAAGAAAATAGATAAATTGAACTTCATAAAAAATTTCAAACTTCTGCTCTTTAACAGACTTAAGTAAATAAAAAGACAAGCCAATGACTGGAAGTAAATATTAAAAAATACACATAGGAACATCTAGAGTAATCAAAAGAATTCTTACAACTTAATATCAAGACCCCTAATAAAATATGAGTAACTTATCTGGATACTTTATAAAGGAAGATGTATTAGTGATCAGACATACGATACAGAATGGAAAGCTGCTCAACATCATTAGTCATGAAAGAAATGAAAACTAAACCTACAGTGTGATAACTGTACACATATATTAACAATACCATGGGCTGGGAAAGATGTAGAGCAACTGGGACTCTCATACAATGCAAATGGGAGTATAAAGCGGAACAAACAATTTGGAAAGCAGTTTGTGAGTTTCTTACAAAGTTGAGAACAATTACCATGAGGGCCAGCAATTCCGCTCCTAGTTATTTATCCAAGAAAAATAAAAACTTATGTGCACACAAGAGCTTACATGCTATGTTCACAGCAATTTTATTCATAATAGCCCAAAATAGAAAGAAACTCCCCTCAAAAGTCATATGCAGAAAGCTAACCTCAAATGTGACTGTATTTAGAGATAGGGCCTTAAAGGGGGCAATTAGGGTTAAATGAAGTCATAAGAAGGGGGTCCTAATCCAATATAACTGGTGTCCTTATGAGAAGAGAGACAGCAGGGATGCACACACACGGAGGAATGTGTGAGGACACAGAGGTAAGGCATCCATCTGCGGACCAACTTGAGTGTCTCAGAAGAAACCAAACCTGTGGCACTTCGATCTTGGACTTCCAACCTCCTGAACTGTGAGAAAATAAATCTCTATTGTTTAAGCCTCCCCAATCTGTGGTATTTTGTTATGGCAGTCTACACAAACTAACTGTCCATCAACAGGTGAATAAACAAATTGTGATATAGCTAGACAGTGGAATATGATGACAATATGAACTAATGAAAATCATTGTGCTGAGTGAGAGAAGCAAGACACAATGAGTACCGATTGTGTGATTCCATTCACATAAAATAACAGGGAAAGCAAATCTAATCCAGAATGACAGAAAGCAAACCGGTAGTTGCCTAGGAATTGGAATGGATTGATTGCAAAAGGGCTTGAGGGAATTAGGGAGGTGATAGAATTTCCTGTAACTTGATTGTAGTGATGATTGCTCAAGTGTGTTCATTTGTCACAGCTCATCAGATCACACTCTTAAAATGAGTGTTTTTATTTCATGTAAATTATACTTCAATACAATTGTTTAAAAATTAGATACACAGGTACTTTGTCAACAATAAACAAATTAGATAGCTATATTAATATATAAAACACAATTCTAAGTAAAATATGTCAGTTATTCAAGTGAGTCCTTACAAATACGGGTTTGCTTTCTGTCATTCTGGATTAGATTTGCTTTCCCTAAAATTTTATGGATCACACAGTTAGTACTCATTGTGTCTTAGCTTCTCTCACTTAGCACAATGGTTTTGAAGTCATTCATTAGTTCATATTGTCATAATATTCCACTGTCTAGCTATATCACAATTTGTTTATTCACCTGTTGACAGTTTGTGTAGAGCTGCCATGTTAAATCATGGAATGCAATCAATTTATTATAAAATTTATTTGAGAGTCTAATAAGGGAAAAGTATAGTCAATATATTTTGGGGAACATGAATCCAACTAGATATCAAGACTTAACAAAACTACAGAAGCTCCAAGAGTATACGTTGGGAAGGAGATAGACAAATTGACCAATGGAGCAGAATGTATAGGGACATTTTTATGACAAAGTAGATTTATAATTCAGTGAAGTAAGGTTGGCAGAAATCCATCCACAAAAATATAAAATTACCTATTTTAAACTATATACAAAATCAATCTCAAGTAAATTAAAGATCTAAATGTGAAGATCAAAATTTCACATATTTTTAGAAAAACTTTCAAATGAAAATGTAAGAAAATAATCTTTCTGGTCTTGGGATAGCAAAAGATTTCCTAAAGAAGACACAAAAGCATAAACCACATGGTAAAGGCTTGACTAATTACAGCAGCACAGGAATTTAAAACTTCTGTTTATATTGCAAGCACAGTGAAAAGACAAGCTAAAGATAAAAGGATTATTATTAAGAATACATAGGTAATCCCTTTAAATGAATATTGAAAAGACAAACAACTCCATAGCAAATAGGAGAGCTTAAGAAAATTTGTTCCAGAAACTTGAGAGAAAATTCATAAAAGAGGAATCCTGAATGGCGAAGAAACATGAAAAGATCTCCAATTTCACTTGTAATCAAGGAAACAAAAAGTATGGGAAAAAATTAAATGTCTGATAATATCAGGTACTGATTAGTATTTGAGAAAATGATAACTGCATGATTTCTGGTGGAAGAGTTATACTTTAGAGAGCAATCCAATAATACCAAGAAGAGTTAAAATTGTACATATATTGGATCCAGTTATTCTACTTCCAGGCACAAATCTAGAGAAATATATATTCAAGGAGAAACAAAAAAGGATGTTGTAACATTTTATTATTTAAAAATGAAGACACTTAAATTTCCATATAAGAATAAATTTTAAAAAGAAAAGATTTATACAATGAATAGAGATGCAACTGTTGAGATATACACTGTATCAAAATTAACAAATTTCAAAATTATAATATTGAGCAAAAAATGCAAGTTGCAAATGGTTACCTATAGTGTATTATCACTTTTAAAAACTTACAGCACAAAAAACAACTTTATGCATCATCTGAGGGTGAGAGATATGTAGAAAATATGAACATGCAAAAGAGTTATACAACCAGGAACCTTATACACACTAACCACTAGGGAGGGAGAAGGGGAAAGGATGAGGATCTGGATCTTGTAATATTTTGCTTCTTGAAATAAAGAAAAATTAGAAGTAAATATGGCAAAATGTGAGCATCCTTAAATATAGGGTTGGGGTGTATAAGCATGTCTTTTATATTACTTGATTTTTGCACTTTTTTGGTACATTTGAAATAGTTCCTAATTTTGAAAAATGCTAAAGATTGCTCTAGTGGTAGGGCAGGTAATCGATTAGAAGAGAACCAGAGTGGATACAAGAACAGTTATCAGGCCACAACTCACAATATATTTAAATAATTTAAGTGTTTGCTTACATATTTAATTTATGGAAAGCCAAACTAAACTCTTCAACATGATGCAGGACATACTACAAGCACACTTTCCCAAACTCACCTGCTCGACCTCTCTATTGAGGGCATCTACCTTTTCTTTTAATCTGTTACCCTCTGCCTCAGCAGTGATAAGTTCTAATTTGAGGGTATTGTTGTCTATCTCTGCTTGCCGGGCCTTATTTTCCCAATTTTCAGCATCTTCATTGGCTTTTTGGAGTTGGTCCATTAGTTGCCGGTTCTCAGATTCCTGAAAAACAAATCCTAGGTAATACTTTAAAAGATATAAAATGTTCAACATATAATTAAACATTATTTGTCAGGTCATTGATAATTTTCTTGCCACAAGGATCATTTGTAACATAACCTTGAGGAATCCCACCTGCACTCTGTTTGGAAAATCGGTCATCCTGTAATTAACAAAAGGGGGTGGGACCAGCATCTGCCCTGGCTCCTGAGTCACACTCACCCATCCAGGCACGTGAAGTTGCTTATTCTCCTCTTTAGGACATGGATGAATATGTTCTTATATTTGCTTTTGTTCAAACAGAATCCACTGCTTCAATTTCCCATGTACCTGCTTACTGACTAGTTGCTGGCCTGGTTTCGGAGCGTCTGCCCTGGCCTGACCTTTTGTATCTTTCTAGTCCCTTCTTCCTGACCACTTTTCTGAGTTGTACTGGCTACAGAGCTTCTGACTGATGGCATATAATAAGCATCAACGTCTGGTACTTCTGGCTTGGTGCATTTCCTGTTTAATTCTGGCTTTTCATTCAGAACCCCATCCTTAGGTTACTCCATCATGGACTGTGCTATGATCCACTTTTGCTCACTGCTCTAATAACTTGTCTGAAATGGCTCACAAATTACAAATCAAACCTATGCCAATAAACACTATTCATAACCATACATCCAGGTATATATTGGGCATATAATATGGAACCGCATTTTTAAAACCTTAAAACAGATGGATTAAAGTAGGATCTTATTTCTAGAGGAAAGCAGTCAGCTCCACAGATAATATACTATATTTAGTAATCATTTTGAGGCTATATTTAAAAACATATTTAGTAGTATGGTTTGGCCAACTCATTCTAAAAAATAATTTATAATTTTGGTAATAAATTTAAAAAGCACTAGATCTCTTTCTCTCCTACCTGTTAATAAACAGTGCATATTTAGAAGCATTGGACTAAATATAATGACCAAATTGCAATAAACAATGTCTCACACTATAAGGCTTTCAAATCAGATTTAAATCCTCACAATATGATTATGCATAAGTCTGGTTGAAATTAGATCAGTGTTACCACCTTGTGGCCTGATGGTACTTTGACTAATTTGAAAGATCTTTGCAGAGTGTTAGATAACAAGTTTACAAGTCAAACTACTGTCCTGGCTTTCAAGATTCAAATATACCAAATGTGCCAGTAGGGATCTGATGTGTGTTTTCCATTATTGTAGTAAAAATATCAGTTGTGTACAGACTATGTACTTGAGGGGTACATGGTACAATATACATAAACTAAATTTACCCTCTTTAACTTTCTGTAGCACTCACCGTCTATGCCGATCTCTTAAAACTGCCTTACAGCTTTAGGAAATTAGATGCAGATGTACAATCTCCCCAATAACAACTTGGATTCCTCAAAGATAGGAACCAACTTTTATATTAAATTTATTTTGTGACTATGTAATACAGGTTCAAAGTTTAAGTGGTAAAAAAGAATTGCCATAAAACATCTTGCCCTCCAACCACCAAGGGCCCCTTCCTTGTGGCAACCAAGAGGCCATTATTTACCCTTTTTTGTATCTGTCCAAAGAAGCCAGAGTAGTGTGGGGACCAAGATAGGCAACAGCATGAAGAAAGTGAAACTGCTTGGTATTGTCCAATTCTCTCTTTCAAGATGTCTTAGCCCCAACCCTGTACCCCACAGCTCCCTCTGGTGGTCCCCTGTGCTCCTTACAACACTCCACCACAGCAAAGCTAACTGCCTCCACTGGAACCCTTGCCCTTCTGGATTATGCATACAGCCTGAATTATGCATACAGCCTCTCCTAATTTCTCCCTTACCCGATATTCTTACCCTTCTGATTTATTCTTCCCAACATCTCCAGAATAATCTTAAAGGCAGTTCTTCAAATCACTTCTGTGTTTTTGTTGTAACAAAAAGCTTCCTGAAAATGGCGTTCAAACAAGTCCTTCTTACCTGTTATCACCCACCTATACATGCCACTCTAGTAGCTACAGGACCTACTATTTCCCCAAACACCTTTGCTGATGTTGTCCCCACTGCCTGGGGTGCCATTCTGTCTCCCTTCAGTTTTCATCTCTGGCACCTCTGCACCTAGCACACTGCATGCTGAATGGATGAGTGAATGAAGAATGCACCTGACTATTCTTACTAGGCTATCAGTCGTGCTTTGTGCTGTCTAGGGCAAGAGGTGCCTGAATCCATCCAATGGTGCTGTGAAATGAAACCCAGTGAAAGAACTCATACTGGCATGCTAAAACTAAGAGAAACTTGATGTGTAATGTTTGAAAACACAACTCCAGAATCTAAAAGCCCCAATCCTTAATGGTGACATTTCAGGTAACCTGACAGGGTAGGGAGAAAAGGGGAACTGTCTTACACTAATTCAGCGTTAACTATGTTCAATGTTGCTAAGATGTTCATTTATTTATATTCTGCCCTATTCCAGAATAGACTTAAATGGATCATTGTGCTAGATGTGCTGACAGACTTGGGTGTTCTTCCCAATTACAGAGGGGACACTGAGACTCAGAGAGGTTGAGTATCCTACCTAAGTCCATGCCATTAAGGAGAAGAGGAGTCAGACCTATCTGATTCCAGAGCTTCTGTCCATTCATGATATTACATGCTGGCATCTAAAAATCAGGAAGTGTGGGAAATGCCTGCTTGGTCAACGTAAGCTCACTGCTTTATTGCCTGAAAGCAAGGATTGCAATTTAGGAGTCCTTACACTATCTATCAACGTCCTAAACAATCTAATGAACACCACACATAAATGCTCTACATACGTTTATGGACTGATATGAAATAATATGTTAAATAAAATAAAGAAAACAGATTTTCTTGGGGTGAGTTTCTATTAATGGTTTCAGTGGTATGTAGGTAACAAACACTATACCTATTATAATCCAACCATACTTTTTAATCAACCAAACTCCACTATTTTAGATGGCATTTTGCTAAATGGACATATCTAACATCATTCATCAAGGTCTCTGTTTATTCCAGGATTGTCACACATGCATTTAAATTTACTTTAACCATATATGCACCTGGTCAAATGGTTACTGACAGAGAAGTCCCAAGGAGAGCCATCTGCCTTCTGGTCCTAAGAAATAAATGGACCCACAATAGCGTGATCAATTCTGATCTGCTACACAACGTGGAGCCTCTTTTGTCCAAGTTTGTACTTGGAACTCTACCATTTTCTAATATGAATGAACCAAAGTTGATTCTGGTCCCCTGTCCTTTACGCAATTGGGAGGATTCTGGACATTGGTGGTGTTCTAAATACAGAATTAACCCACCATTGACAACACTAAAAGATGCTGTGCATTAAAGGAAGATTTGATTCAGCTCTCGCCATGAGTTTAACTGATTAGTAACTTCAGTGAAAACTCAGCTATCATGAGAAAGGAGGGGAAATATACATACGTACTTCAGACTTTAATATATTCTTCAGCTTGTTAACCTCCAAATTAGTATCTTGAACCTTCTGTTTTATATCATTAAGTTCATTATGAGTATCATTCAATTGTTTAGACAGGGCCTATGAGAAAATATAGCTAAATTTAACTACGAAACGAATAAACAATTGCTCTGTGTCAAAACCATGAATAAATTTCTAAATATTTATTCTAAGTAAAAAGTAATATACCTAATATATAAAGCTCAGATAAAAACAGTGAGAAAATGTGAGTCCAAACTGTAAATGGGCAAAGGACCCAAATAGATAATTCAAAAAAAAGGAAGCACAAGTGGATAATACTTTTAAAAGTTAAAAATTTACTAGTAAATCAAATAAATGCTAATTAAGATAATGAAATACTATTTGCCTATAAATTAGCAAGGATTTAAAGCTATTCTGTTATGGCAAAGAATGGGCATTTCCATGTATCATTGGAGTAAATGTATATTTGCAAAAAGCTAATCTGTGATCTGCTATCTTGTGATGTATCAAGAGACATTTTTAAATACTAATAAAAAAACTTCATAAGCTTTGATTCAATTTGAAATTAAATCTATGGGGGGGGGGTGAGGGCATGTGCCGGGGGGGGGGGTAGTAGAGGAGGACGGGGAAAGGTCAATGGGGGAAAAAAAGGAGACATATGTACTACTATTTGTAATACTTTAAACAATAAAATAAAATTTTAAAAAAAGAAATTAAATCTAACAAAATTTAACAAAACAGAATGCTCATTAAGGCATTATTTGTTATTGCAACAATATTTATTCACAGTAAGTGAATGATGTAGCAAATAATAGCATCTACATAATGATATAACTACATAGAATGTTATGCTTCTATGAGAAATGTTGGGAATAATTTTTCATAACAGAGGAAAATGTCCAGCTGCCTCTAGTGAAAAAAATCATCTAGTTAGCTATATTTTCATTCAAAACACTAAAAATACCTCATCCCAATTTGTTAAAAATTGTGGTGCTCAGGGTGAAATTTCTTTTTTCTAATCCTCACCTGAGGATATTTTTTCCATTGCTTTTAGATAGAATTGACGGAGAGGGGAGAGGGAGAGAGAGAGAAACATCGATGTGAGAGAGGCACATCAATTGGTTGCCTCTCGAATACTCCCCTACAGGCTGGATATAGAACCTGCAACCCTATATGTGCTCTTGATTGGGAACTGAAACTGAGACCTTTGCCTGTCTAGCATGGTTCAGTGGTTGAGCATTGAACTATGAACCATGAGGTCATAGTTTGATACCTGGTCAGGGCACATGCTCGAGTTGTGGGCTGTATCCCCAGTGGGGGTGTACAGGAGGCAGCTGATCAATGATTCTCTCTCATCATTGATGTTTCTATTTCTTTCTCTTCTCCCTTCCTCTCTGAAATCAATAAAAACTTATTTAAAAAAACAACAAAAAAACACACACACACGACCCTTTGGTGCACAGGCTGACGCTCTAAGCACTGAGCCAAACCAGTTAGGTAGGGTGAAATTTTTTAAGGTTTCTGTTTTCCACATCTTCTGTAATAAGGGTTCTTTATCTGCCCTCCACAGAGGGAATCCATCTTCTACCCTTGGGCCTATGACTCAAATGAAGAAAAAAACTACTCTTGAAAATATGAAAATTGCTATGATACCTACCAATTTTCTTCTGATTATAGAAAATGTTTATAAAATTTTAACAAAGCAGGTAAATGCTTATAGTGTCCCTACAAAATATTTATCAAGTGATTATGCTGGACTCTCTAATAAGTGCTTTCTAGGCATATTCTCACTCTCTGCGTTTACAGATGATAAACAGATTCAGAGAAGTTAAGTGATATTATCACACAGCCAGGCAGGGGGATTCAAACTCATGTGAGTCCTAAACACTCCACGTTACTGCCCCCTCATGTAGAAAACCATGATGTAAAGGGGCATGTGGTTTTATCCCAGCAACATAAAAAGTTCATGTAAAAAATAAAAATTTTAAAAAATATATTGAAAATTAGTAAAAAATATGTTAATGGAGGCTAACTTTGGGTAGTAAAAATGAGTTTCTAATCTAGTTTTTTTATAAATATAGGTTATATTTACCTTTAGCCTATTTTCTCTAGCTTTAGAGTACACAAAATTATAAATTTACATTTTTTTGTTTTCATTGCTATTAAATAAATTTAAAAATATAGTTTTTGACTTATAGAAAAGTTGTGAAAATAGTAGAGTCCACATATACTCTATATTCAGTTTCCTCTTTCATTAACTTGTTACATTAGTATGCTACATTTATCAAAATATTGATACATTATTAATTAAAGTCCATATTTTATTCAGATTTGTTTCATTTTTAATTTTTTATTCATTGATTTATTTTTATTATTTTTCTCAGCCTAATTATACTTTTTATTTATTTTTCTTTTTTTTCTGTTCATCAGATTATTTATTCACTTGATTTTTAGATTTACTTGTTGATAGATGTGTATTTGTTGTTCATAGTTTGTATCTTTACCATTTTCTTCTTCTTCCTCTTCTTAAAGGATACCTTTCAGTATTTCATATAATACTGGTTTAGTGGTGATGAACCCTTTTAGCTTTTTCTTATCTGTGAAGCTCTTTATCTGACCTTCAATTCTGAATGATAGCTTTGCTGGATAAAGTAATGTTGGTTGTAGGTTCTTGGTATTCATCACTTTGAATATTTCTTGCCATTCCCTTCTGGCCTGCAAAGTTTCTGTTGAGAAATCAGCTGACAGTCGTATGGGTACTCCCTTGTAGGTAACTGACTGTCTTTCTCTTGCTGCTTTTAAGATTCTCTCTTTCTCTTTTGCTCTTGGCATTTTAATTATGATGTGTCTTGGTGTGGTCCTCTTTGGATTCCTTTTGTGTGGGGTTCTCTGCGCTTCCTGGACTTGGAAGTCTATTTCTTTTACCAGGTAGGGGAAGTTTTCTGTCATTATTTCTTCAAATAGGTTTTCAATATCTTGCTCTATCTCTTCTTCTGGCACCCCTATAATTCGGATGTTGGTACGGTTGAAGCTGTCCCAGAGGCTCCTTACCCTATCTTCATATTTTTGGATTCTTTTTTCATTTTGCTTTTCCGGTTGGGTGTTTTTTTGCTTCTTCGTATTTCAAATCTTTGACTTGATTCTTGCGATCCTCTAGTCTGCTGTTGGGAGTCTGTATAATATTCTTTATTTCAGTCAGTGTATGCTTAATTTCTAGTTGGTCCTTTATCACAACCTCGAGGGTCTCATTAGATTTCTTGAGGGTCTCATTAAGTTTATCGGCGGTTTTAGAAAATTCTTGAAAAATCTTAAAAGTGTGGTTTTGAACTCTATATCCAGTAGTTTGCTTTCCTCCATTTCTGTCATTTGTGACCTGTTTCTTTGTCTCCGCATTTTTTTATGCTTCGCTGTGTCGATAGATTGGCTTTCTGTACTAGATGTCCTAAAGGGCCCAGTGGCTCAGCCTCCCCAATAACCTGAGGTAGACACTCTTGGTGCAACCCCTTATGGGCTTTGTGCACAGTCTTGTTGTAGTTAAGCCTTGATTGTTGTAGGTAACACTGGGAGGGATTGACCTCCAGGCCAATTGGCTGTGAGAATCAGCTGTGTCTGCAGTGGGAGAACTTCTGTGCTGGAGACACCCCTCCGGGGCAAGACTTGCTTCAATGGGGCTTTGGTGCTCACTGAGTCTGCCCCATTAGTGTGTCCTTTATGAATCCGAGGAGTTGTAATCTGGCTGGTCCCACTCTGACCACTGGGCACACTGGCTCCTGGATCTCTAAGGAGGTGCTAATCTAGCCTCTGCCCGAGGTTATTCAGCAGGAGCCAGCTGTGACTCAATGCAAGTTGCCCTGGGGCCTTGGGCCAGCTGCAGTTTGTTAGGTAATTATCAGACTGCAAAGGGCCAGGCCTTTCATATGCAAAAGCCTCCGTGGCTTGGGCGGGGCTGGGTACCAGGGGATCAACAGGGCGGAGCGAGCAGTTATGGCTGCTCTCAGTCCTGCTCTCAGAGGCCCTGCTTCTGTGTCCCGGCAATCGCTGCAAGCACCCCCGAGAGAAAGCTGCCCTCGAGTTCCGACCGATGCCAGACAGTCCAGTTTCTCCCGTATGAGTCTGGGTCCCCAGAGACTCACCCGGAACTGGAGCTCAGAGCTTGAGACTCCCTCCCGATTGAAAAAGACAACCGTGTCCTCAGCCACCAAGCCTCTCCACATGCGTCTCTGTACCTCTGTATTTTACTTCCGCACCGCACCTTCTCTGAGTCTCGGTATGCTTTTTCTCTTTCCTTCTAGTTGTACAATTTCCACTCAGCCAGCCTTCCTGTGGTTTTGGATGATGTCCGTTCCGTCTTTTAGTTGTATTTTTGAAGTGGTTGTGCGAGGCAGCAAACTCCAGTGTTTACCTATGCCGCCATCTTGATTTCTCCTCCTATTTTTCTTTATTGATTAAGGTATTACATGTGTCCGTATCTCCCCATTGTCCCTCTACCTCCCCCCCCCCACTCATACCTTCACCCCCCTGGTGTCTGTGTCCATTGGTTAGGCCTATATGCATGCGTACAAGTCCTTTGGTTGATCTCTTTCCCTTATCTCCACCTTCCCCTACCTTCCCTCTGAGGTTTGATCGTCTGATCGATGTTTTTGTCTCTGGATCTGCTTTTGTTCATCAGTTTATGTTATATAATGATGATTTTTTTTTTCTTAGAGAGCAAGGAGAGAGAGAGAGAGAGAAAGAGAGAGAGAGGGAGAGAGAGAGAGAGAGAGAGAAAGTACTGTTTTGTTGTCCCACTTCATTGGTTGATTCTTGTATATGCCCTGACTGGATATAGAACCCACAACCTTGATGTATTGGGATGATGCTCTTACTAAGTGAGCATCAGGGCCAGATATTTTTCATTTTTATTTACTGTTCCTTTTCTGTTCCAGGATCCCATTATTCATTAACTTTGAACACAGCATTTTAACATATACAATTTTTATAATTAACAAAATGTTGCATCTTAATATCTATTTATAAAAATTAAAAATATTTAACGGTTAAAATACAGAATTTTATGATGCAACTAAACATATTGAGAGTGACAGTACATGGGGATATCATTTGGACTGAAGAATTTTTAGGGGGGAGGAAATCTTCCAAATAGAATGTTTTTAATGGTCAAATTAAAATAATGATATTGGAAATGAGAAATGTGGATAAAGTATATTGACATAGAGAAGAAGTAATTATAAAATAAATTTTCCTGAAAAGAATTAGTGCTAAAGAGAACCAAAAAATGTGGCATGGTACATACACTCATACTTAGAATAATAGTCCCTGAAGTAAATCTACCATTATTTAAAAGTTTCTGAAGCTTTTATCTTCATTTGTTGAGTACTTCTAAGGTTGAATATACATCTATTATATTCCTTGTTCCCTCTTTCCTTAATATTTAACATTTTATGTCTGAGGGTTTCATTTAGAAATTATGTGGCATATTGTGTAACAGGGGTAAAAAAAATGGCTGCTTCAAAGAGCCTGAGGTTTCTACAAAATGAAAGGAGAACCACGTCTCAGAGGAAATACGTATTTTCTTGGAGAAAAAGAGAGTAGGACAAATATACCTGGTTCTCTTGTTTAGCTTTAGAAAACTGTTCTTGGAGATTGTCATTCTCATGAGCCAAGATATCTCTTTCCCTGGCGATTTGAGCCAGTTCATCATTTGTTTCATCCAACTGCCGGCGCATCCTGGAAATGTCTTGTTCACACATAATTAGCGCTTCAGTAGACTGTCTATTGCACAAATCAAATAGTACGTCAGAAGAGACATTTTACCGAAACAGAATAACAAATTCTCACATGACAGAAGATGGACAGTTAGCATAAAAACATTTGAAGAAGTTTTAAACACATTTAAATTTATACGAATAAATACTGCGAAAATAGTGCATTCGAGTTTCTCTGTGTTGCCAACATTTCACTACAGAAAAAAGATGCTGAATATACATAATAGTCAATGATTAGCTAAGTATTTCAAAACTTCTGACATTCAAATATAAGAAAGCTTTCATCTGACCTCTAGCTGCCATGGCTTAGTCTCCTTTGCAGGTTCCTCTTCCTCTGCCCTCTTAAAACCTAAGGGTTCTGAGGGCTCAACTCTTACTCTCCTGTTTCTTCTTACTCTCTGCCTTCCCTCAGACAAATACCATTCATATCCATGGCTCCCAACCCCATCTATACCCTGAAGACTCTGAAATCATTACCTCTAGCCTTGGCCTCCTCCTTACACTCCAGACTCTTATATTTAACTGCTTATGAGACATATATGCAAGGTCTCAAAGGCTCTTCCCATCCAGAGGAAAACCATCGCTTTCCATATTTTCTACACGTCCAGTACTCATCTCTCAAAACCTGGCATTTTCCTAGATTTTCTTCCTCACAAGCACCTCACCCCTGACCACACTCCCCAACCCCAATCTATCATCATTCTTCAATGTGGGTAATCTTTCTAACACAAAATTCTCCTCAAAATTCCTTAATGATTTCTTATTTCCCAAAGGATAAAACCAAGACTCATTTGTCTATAACACAGGCCTCTGTGTTTAGCCTTTCCTCCCTTCACACCTCCTCTCTCACTTTGGGTTCCAACACTCACCTACTTGCATTCACGAGGCTCTTGAACATTACCTGTGGTCTTGTGGTTCTCTGCTGTTTTTCCTTCCCTTTCCTTGGCAGACACCATATCCTCTCTTACTTCCCTACACAGACTTAGGCCTCCTTCCAACATTAGAAAGTTACCACCCTCTCTGTAACACTAAGCCCCCGTTTACTATCTTTGTACCTAACATAGTACTTTGCCCCTAATAAATATGTACTCAAATTCTTGTTGGACGAGTGGTTTACCTTGATGCCTGTTCCATCTCAGCAATGATATTCTTCATGCCTGAAATGGTCTTTTCCTTGAAAAGTAATATAAGTATGACATAAAAAATTATCTTAAACTGTTATTTCTGTTAAAACTGAATGAACAAAAATCAATTTCCCCCACCCTTTTTCATTTACATTTTGGTTTAAACACTTATGCTCTATTCATCTTTCCTACACTTTAAAACTAAAGCCTAGTATATCAATGTCAATATTTGTACTAGACAAAAACAATTGATGATACTCATTAGAGTTAAGACTACACTTGGGTGTATGGATATGAGATCAATGTGTCAAATGCTCTGTTAGGCTTTGTGCAGTCCCCCAGCAACACCAGAGCTCAGGAGCACTGTGTACCTGGAGGCAAACCAGTGGTTTGCATTACAGTGTTCTCCATGGGGAGTAGACTGATTCACTTCCTCACATCATGTTATGAAACCCAGGAAAGTGAATGATGTGAAACTAAATTTAGTTCTTAAGACTAATAACTTTGATCAAGTTATTATTAGTCATCAATATAAATAATGGTCATAAATCCATGTAGCTGATAAAACGGAGTTACTTATAAAAGTCTATTTTTAAGTTTAAGTCTGAGTTAAATAAGCCTAAGGGCCAGAGCAAAAAGTGAATAAAATAAGCTACTGATATTCTCCCTTTTCAAGGGTGTGCTGAGGGAGATTAATGAGTCAGTCAAGGCTGAAATAGGTGTGCTTATCTTCATGCTATCAATACTATTCCCACACTTCCTCCTTTGAAAATGCTTGTTGATGGTGAACTAAAGATACTATTCACTGATACTTTGGCTAACATTAGCCCTGTTCTTTCACTACATAACTAGATTTCACTTTACCCTTTGAAGTTTGAAATCCTAAGTAACCAAGGAAACAAGATGAAAACCTAAACCCATATTTCCAACCAGTTCTGTTCCTGTTCATCAGGACGGTTTAGTCGTGTGTGCATGTTGTGTGTGCACGGGCATGTGTATGTGTTATCTCCCTTTACTCATGTGCTCCTCTCCAGGATACTTTTACTCTGGTTTCCCATTCTGCTCCTGGTAGAATGGTGCAGATAAATATTGGAATATGGTTAACATATCCATTAGCAAAACAGTTAACCCCCTTTAAGAAGTCAAGCCAATGAAGGAAAAACTCAAAGAGAAAATACCGCTTAAAATAGAATGTTTATACATGCCTTTGAAATATAATTTAATATATTTCCAATTAAATTCTGAAAAACAAATTGAACTTCTAGTATTTCTAAAAGTCATTACTTGGTAAGACTTAAATATAATTTATAAGCCTAAAAAGGACTTTCTTTTATCAATAGAAACTCATCTTGAAAGTATGACTATCTAATACTAAGAACTTTGTAAAGTATCCAGGGCAACAAAATTACTGGGTAGAATCCAGTAACATATCCTACCAGCCCTATTCTCTCTTCATATTGCCCTAATACCAGCATTTCAAAAACTGTTGACATTTATGCCATCACTGTCAATTTAACATTTCTGTACAACCTCAATATGTTTGTCCAATTAGAATCATAGGTTCAAGTTAATTGTTAAAAATTCAATCTGGATAAGATGATCATAAATCTATATAGAAAAAATAAATAAACTAAAATATTACACAAATAATTATGGCTTTTATTACTAAAAAGTCTGTGAACTTCCTAATGAGTTTCCTAACTTTAACTGGTAGTAAGTAGAAGGACATCTTTTTAAATTACCAACAAGATGAAAAAACTTCATATTATTCATTATAATATAGACTTTCCATAGGAATTTATTCTGTAATCTCCATATTAGACTGTAAGAGTACTGCTTTTCACCGTATGGTACTTATAAATTGAACTCTAAAATATTACGTAGAAACTGTTTCCTCTTTCCATGCCTAATATTGCTTTAAAATGTTTTTTTTCTCCTCAGAGGATGGATGTGTTTATGTTCATGATCTTATACAAGATCATCAACTGGATTGGCAAGTCAATATTCCTTGCGAAGGAAAAGATAATGTTGGTACAATTAGCAGAATGGAAGGAATGTGAAATATAGATATAGCTGAGGAAAATCAGATAGATCTGAATAATTTGTTTCTAAGTGTTAAAGAAAAACAAAACATGTTTAACTCTTCAAGTAGTAGTGTTTAAATATGAGAAAAAATATTCTACCCCCAAAAGCCATAACATTTTTTAAAATATTAAGGTATAGCTTATAGAGATGAGTCAGCCTTTTAAACAAGTAAACCAATATTTATTATCTTATGCACTTTGAGGGCTTCAGTTAGGCTCATGATTCCCAAAGCTTTTAACTTCAATTCCAGTTTCTCCCAAAACCTAAAAATCCAAGAGCCTATGAATATTTCAATGACATGTGCCAAAGACATGTGGATCATCTTCCTCTCTGAGCCTGCTCTGTTTCCCGTGCTTCCTACTTCATACGTGGCAACTGTTCACATGGTTCCTCAGTCAGAAAGCACGTCTTGTCAATCTTACTCCCTTCGTAGACCTATTTCTCTCACGGATACTGCCACTCTCCTACCACAGTTCTTAACACTTCACTCCTAACTAGTGTCCTTGTCACCATTCTCACTTTCCTATAATCCATCTTTTACATGGATTAACAAGGGCTGGAATATTTTAAAAAATAAAGATGTAACTATAAAATGTTGTTTATATTATTTCATTGATTCACTATATCAATGATATTCTAAATTCAACATTACATACATTTTTAAATTTGTTGCTTACCTATCCCATCTCATTTTTTGCCACCTATCCCTACCCCATACTTATCTCTTTGCAATCTATGCTCTGGACATTATAAACTATCAAGAAACCCTGTGACATTCTCTGATGAAAGCCACTGGGTTCTCATAAGTTGCTCTACCTGTCTGGATTCCCCTTTCTCTAAAAGGTATTCTGCCTGGAGCAGCATTAAATAGATTGTCAAACTACAGCAGGAAGGCTGGGGAGGGTTGGGAGGTGGGTAAGAGATCAACCAAAGGACTTGTATGTATGCATATAAGCATAACCAATGGACACAAGACACTGGGGGTGAGGGGGGAAGAGGAGGCTGGGGGAAGGTCAAGGGGAAAAGAAAGGAGACAAATATACTACTCTTTGTAATATTTTAAGCAATAAAAAAAAGGGGGGGGAAGGTATTCTGCCTGTCTGAACGCCTTTCCTCTCACTGTAGCCTTTCTCTAAGTCTTTTCCTGGCTAATTCCTAGTCAATTTTCAGGGCAGTCCAGGCATTATCATCTTCTAGAAAGCTTTCTAGATCTTCTCCTCTCCTAATCCAACCCGCAGGTTAGATCAACTGTGCTTCTGCCAGACTCAAACCGAACACTGTGCATACACTCAGCACATTCTATCATAAAAGTACCTTTATTTATCCTTCTCCCAATTATGCTACAGGCTTCGGAAGGCATGTCCACTCCTCCTCAATTTCTAACATAATATTCCTGGTACATGTCAATAAATGTTTGTTTTATGGGTGGATAGATGAAGGAATTAGTTCCCTTAGAGAGGGGCAAGGCCTTATTCCAATGATGCTGTTTTGCTTATGACATCTGTGGAAAACAGTTTTGGAATTGCCTTCAGAACCACTTTATAAGCAAGAAAAGCGTATGAATATTTCCCTGCCTTTTTGACAACACCTGTTATGTTGTCTGAACAACAAAACCTGAGGAATGGAGATTATCATCCAGCTTTATTTACCAACTCCATATGGCAGGGAGGGCGGACCTTTTTCCTGCCAAGGGTCATTTGGATATTTATAATATCATTTGCTTAATATAATTCACTAATTTTATGTTGCTATAAAGAAAGTCCTGTGTTTGTTGAATTTTGAGTCTGCCTGCAGTTGTGTTGGCAGGGCCAGATCAAATGATGTTGCACGTCTATCGCCTACAGGCTGGAGGTTCCTCACCCCTGCCCTATGGTCTAGTCTCAATGACTAAGGACAATGTAAAAACCTGCATCAATTCTGAACACAATTACAAAGGCAGTTTTAATGGAATAAACATATTGCCTCCCACAGTGGCTCCCTGGAGATATAAGTTTTGGTGTGCTTTTAAAAAGAAATCAATCTCACTGCTTTCTTTTTAATTTGAATATTTGATATTTGAATTAGTTCTTGTCAGCACATGTTAACCACACATTGATGAGAGAAAGAACACATTTTTAAGACTATTCTGAAATATTTCAAAATCACATTTTAAAGTTTCAGCTCTCTAGAAAAATTTTGAGAGAACCTATTATTTTATTCAGATTCCAGTGCAAACACTTCTTTTAAACCACAGTTCTCAGAACATACTTTCATGGCCAAACTCTCTCCAAGGGATGCAATGTTCTCAGACTTTTTATCCAGGCATGCTTGCAGGCACTCCTTTTCTTTAGCCAGGTCGTTGAGGGTTGCGCCAAGAATGCTGATTTCTTCTCGCTGGGCAATACTCTGCCTTGTAAAATTATCTAAATATGTAATCATAAAGGCATTTTTAATCAAGATAATTTTTCAGTCCAAGTGGATTGAAATACTTTTCAAAGTAAGTTCTATATTATATTCAATTCCTAAAAATAAGTATAGTATCCCAAATAAAAACATGGCTTTTGTTGTTAGTGATTAAAATCCAAGATGAATCTTGAAATTCTAAATGATTCACAAATGTAAAAGCACAATTAACACATTTGAATAAGAATAGCAAAAGAAAGCTCCAAATTACAAGTTCTCAAAGTAGATTTACATGCCTGGTGGGGTGGAGGGCAGACTATAGGTGGATGAAGTTGGGTGAAATACTGAAACCAACATTTCCCTCCAATTTCTCCCCTCTCTTTGAACTAGAATCATTGTTGTATATAAGTTGGTAACAGATCTTAATAAAACATTCAATTAAGTCATGTTCAGAGTCAAATGTCTTCTGCTCTGATCTCTCTAAATTTTTCCTAAAAATTCCTGGAAAAAAAAATCATCCCAGGACGTCTGATTTGATTGTGGAAACACTGACAAGCCAATGTCAATGCTCCGCAAATCTATATGAGTTAAAGACGGCTCCCGCGGAGTACGCGCAATTCACGCGAGCCGACTTAACCCGTTTCCCGCACTCCAAGTGTTAATAAAATATTCAATTAAGTCATGTTCAGAGTCAAATGTCTTCTGCTCTGATCTCTCTAAATTTTTCCTAAAAATTCCTGGGGAAAAAAAATCATCCCAGGACGTCTGATTTGACTGTGGAAACACTGACAAGCCAATGTCAATGCTGAAGGCCTAAATGACTGCTATGCAATTGGTTCTCAAACTGTGGTTTCCCAACCAGCACCATCAGCATCACCTGGGAACCCCAGTCCTACTGAATTAGAAATTCTGACTGGGCAGAGCAATTATGTCTTAACAAGCACCCTCCCATGTGACTCTAATGCACAACAGCTTGAGACCCACCTGAGCAAACTGGAAAAGACACAAGAGCCCTGGCCATCTGCTACTCCAGGGGGCCCAGTGGTCTGCGCTAGCCCTCCAGGGGATTCTGAGCACACCCAAGTCTGAGAACCTCTGGTCTAGAGCTCTACTAGGGAAGCTCTGCTAGACTGGACCTCTAGGTTACTCCCTGCCAACGACCATCCAGGGCAGCATAAGAGAGGCACTATCCCATGCCAAGAGGATGATCTAAAGTACCTGAGAATAGATCAATTCCCTTTTCCAGGCTACTATCTTTCAGGCAAACACATGTTTTGGGTGTTCTGATAGATGAGTCCATTCCCATTGGCATACAATAACGAAATAAAAGCTCTGAAACAGCTCTAGGAGATCCTACTTTAAAAATAATCCTCCACCTCACATCCCACTCAAGCTACCGCCCCATTTTTCTGCTACACTTGGTAGCCAAACTTCTTAACAGACTTCTATTCTCTCCTGTCTCTACTCTCACTGCCCAGTCTTCCTCAGCCTATCCCATCTTCCACATCCAACACTCTATCCAAACTTTGTCAGTGTCCCCAAAACCTTCAAAGTACCAAATCCAATCACACCTCCTTCATCCCCATCTTACTTAGCTTCTCAAATTATCTGATAATTAACACTACCATCCTTTTTAAAACATTTGCTCTCTTGCCTCCCCCAAAACACTCACTTATGGGTATTCTTCCTAATTCTTCGGCTTCTTCTTACTTAGTCCTGGACTCTCTTCTCCTCATTCTCTATATTTTCTCTAGATGATTTCATGGTTTTAATATCATTTATTTGCTGATGTGTCCCAAATGTATATTTTTAGATTAGGTTTCACTTCTGAGATAAAAACTTATCTATTAACTGCTTACCTTACATTTTTACTTGGATTTAAAATATCCAAAAATGAGTTATTCAATATTCCCATTTTAGATTTATATTTTAATACTTCCCATCTCAATAAAAAGCACCTCCACCCATCTAATTGTTTATGCCAGACAGTTTTGAACTACTGTTAAAAATATTCCCTCTGCCCGGCTGGTGTTGCTCAGTGGTTGAGCGTCCACCTATGAACCAGGAGGTTGCAGTTTGATTCCCGGTTAGGGCACATGCCCGGGTTGCGGGCTCAATCCTCAGTGGGGGTACAGGAGGTAGCCAGTCCATGATTCTCTCTTATCATTGATGTTTCTTTCTCCCTCTCCCTTCCTCTTCGAAATCAATAAAAATATAAACAATATATACATATATTCCCTCTATTTTAAAATGGGTTCTTTTATAGTCATAATCAAAATTTTACTTTACAGTTATAAAAATATTAAATTATGACCATATTTTCATAGAGATAAATGATAAGAAACATAAACAGCAGACTATAAAAACAATTTTCTCTATGAACCCAACTAATATCATAGATATAGCCAAATATATGTATACTTTCCACCAAAAGTAATATAAATGTGTACTATGTTTCATTAAAACTGCTATGAACAAGACACATTTTTACACAGAAACTTGTAAATTTAAAAGTGACCATCATAAATTAGAAAGTGTTGCTATTTTGTTTCCATGATCGGAATCATAAACTTTTAATTGAAGGGCCTATCTCCAAGTTTATCTTGTTATAACTGAGAGAAGAAAGCTTTTTTTCTAGCAGACGTAAAGAAAAAGTAATAACAGGAAAAAATAACTCACCAATTTTTTCATCCAAGCACATAATTTTCTCCTGAGTAAGCTGAAGCTCATATTTTTTCTTAGCAAGGTGTCGCTGAGTATCAGAAAGGTCTTTTTCTGTATTTTCATATAAAACTCTGTAAACATTTTAATAATAAAACTAATTCTGAAATTTTTATCAACCTCTTAGTGTATTTAAATCTAAAAACTTTTAGGGACACTAATAAACATTTTTCTTTTTAGTATCTTCCTAAAGCCACATTATAGAAAGTTTAAAGAATAAAGGGTAAAAAGCGACCCTCAATCCACCACTCCAACATAAGCTACTATTAGCATTTTGGTGTTCATTATTCAGTATTGCTGCTTTTTCATATTTTTCATATTCAGTGTTATGCATATTTAGTTACCATACTATAAATTCAAAATTGAATCTGATTTTTTCACCTACACTTAATCTTTAATAATTTTCAGTCTATAACACAGTCCTCCAAATCATCATTTTCTGCCTGAAAAATATATATGAGCAATAGCTATTTATTTTTAAGTAAATATAAACATTTAGTTCAGTATTCTATTATTAGACATCTAGGTTTATTTCCGTTTTCCCTATTACTAATAAATCTATAATGAACAGCATTTCATTCACTCCACATTTATTAAGTGTCTAGTTAGTATGTACCAGGTACTAGGTGCTGAGGAACATAGAGTGAACTTGATGGGCACTGGTCCTGTCCTCATTGAGTTCACAGTCTATAAAAAAGTAACAGACCATAATTTCTGGCATTATGGAAACTAGATAATCTGAAAGTCTTCTAATATAAAGAAGCATCCTACAATATAAAGAAGCATCTTTTTAAATGTGTGGCTACACTTGTAAGAAATTGTAAGGGAAGCCCCCTGGAGCCAAATTAGAGCCATAAGACTATGAACTGATGTTATGCTAGATATAATTGGGGTTTGCCTGTCTCAGTAGTCTAGGGTCTTTTTTAAAAAATTTCTTTATTGATTAAATTATTACATGTGTCCTTAGTCTAGGGCAGTGGTCTGCAAACTGCAGCTCGAGAGCCACATGTGGCTCTTTGGCTCCTTGAGTGTAGCTCTTCCACAAAATACCATGTGCGGGCGCGCATGTACAGTGCGATTGAAACTTCGTGGCCCATGTACAGAAGTCGGTATTTTGTGGAAGAGCCACACTCAAGGAGCCAAAGAGTCGCATGTGGCTTGCGAGCTGCAGTTTGCCAACCACTGGTCTAGGGTCTTAACTCAGAAACAAAAGATGAGGTCATAGAGATGCCTACAACACAAGAATTAGAACTAAGGCCCCCCACATAAAGCCACTGAGGACTATAACAAAAGTGAAAAGGTCAGACTAGACAAAATCAGTTTGTCAACCAACCACTGCTAGGCTCAGGGTAATAATAATTTTTAAAAAATCTTTCTTGGGTATTGTTTATCTCAGGACAATAAATCAAAATAAAATCTGGCTCTAGGGTGTTTGTATAAGCTAGAGCACTTGGCAGAAATAAACACAAAACTTCTCTGGAGGGATATATCCTCCATCCAGGCTAAGAACTAAACCTTGGATACAGGCATGTTGAAAATTAGCTCACAATTCAAATTTTAAAAACACATTAAGTAATAATCCAAACTTAGTGGGAGTCAAAAGACATACAAACTAAGTTAGATCCCCTAGAACTATAGATTGTAGTATTTTCAAAGAAACCTACTAGTTCTATTTTTTAAAATATATTTTTATTGATTTCAGAGAGGAAGGGAGAGGGATGAAAGAGAATCATTGACTGGCTGTCTCCTGCATGTCCCCCACTGGGGCTTGTGCCCGAAACTTGGGCATGTGCCCTGACCTGGAATTGAACTATGACCTTTTGGTTCAGAGATTGACCCTCAACTACTAAGCCATGCCAGCTGGGCAAGAATAGTTGTATTTAAATACTGAAAGATAAAGTAATAAAATACATAAGAAAAAAGAACCAGCAGATTTTTAAAAAGAACTAAAGTTCAGAAAAATTAAACTATAATAATTGAAATAAAAAACATTTAAAACATCAACAGACAAGTTTAAGAGCACCACAGACACAGCAAAAGATAAAATCAGTAAGTTGAAAAAACTCTAGTCCATAGAAATAATTTATAATAAAGCACAAACTAAAGAGAGAAAAGCTAAAAAACATAAAGAACAGAATGAGAAGGTTCAATCACCTAATCAAAATTCCAGAAAGAGAGGATAAACACAATATTCCAAAAAATAATCTCTCTATATAAAAGCCAAGCAACTGGAACGACTGGTCGCTATGATGTGCACTGCGACCCCAACTGCCCGCAGCCCCTCCTCCTGGCCAATCCCACCCCCAGTCAGCCCCCCTGGCCGGCCCCGCTGCTAATCAGACCCCCAATCCCATTCGGGGATGGGGCCGGCAGTCTGACTGCGTGCAGCCCCTCCCGCTGGGGCCCCCACCCCTGAACAGTCGCAGGTGCAGCGTAGGAACAGCCAGTTGGCCAACCTCCCGAGTCCCCTCCCCCCTTGCCGGCCTGGCTGGATGGGCCCCCATTGGGGGAAGGCCAGCTGAACCCCACCCATGCACGAATTCATGCACCCAGGTCTCTAGTAGCTAATCCTATATAATAAAGAGCTAATATGCAAATAGTCATTGCGCCCTCACGCCATCATGCCATAATGCTTCAGACACTCAATACTGGGGAGAGAGGAATGGGGACCAGCCAGGCTGCGACCCGGAAGAGAGACAAGCTGCCCGCCCCACAGTCCCAGGAGCCAGCGGCTGTGCCTGCGGCCCAGGAGAGGGACAAGCTGCCCACCCTGTGGTCCAGGGTGCCAGCACTGTGCCTGTGCTTGTGGCCTGGGAGAGGGACAAGTTACCTGCCCTGCGGTCCCGGGCACTACCACCTGCAACTGCGGCCCTGGAGAGGGACAAGCCACCTGTCCCACAATCCCAGGCACCTGTGGTGTGGCCCGGGTGAAGCCGCCCGCCCACGGTCCCCTGTGGCTGCAGCCGGCCTAGGTGAAGCTGGCCCAGGTCCTGGGTGCCTGTGGCCAGCCAGAGGGAGGGAAGCCTGGGTCCCGGGTGACTGTGACTGGCCGGAGGAGGAACTCCTGGGTCCTGGGTTTGTGGCAAGGCAGAAGCGGTTAGGGGCGATCAGGCCAGCAAGGGAGCTGTTAGGGGCAATCAGGTAGGCAGGCAGAGGTCATTAGGGGCAATCAGGAAGGCATAGGTGGTTAGGGGTGATCAGGCAGGCAGACAGGCAAGCGGTTAGGAGCCAGCAATCCAGGATTTCGAGAGGCAGTCAGACATCCCCTGAGGGGTCCTGGATTGGAGAGGGTGCAGCTGGAGAGGGTGAAGGCTGGGCTGAGGGATAATATATAAAATCTTCCTCCATCACCAGGCCTCCGGGATAATATATAAAATCTTAGACTAAACAAACATCAAGGAAAAATCTGAACACACTCTGGCTGGTGTGGCTCAGTTGGTTGAGTGTTGTCCTGTGCACTGAAAGGTCCCCTGTTCTATTCCCAGTTAGGTCACATGCCCAAGTTGTGGGTTTGATCACTGGACAGGGTGTGTGTGGGAGGCCACCAATAGGTATTTTTCTCTCACATCAATGTTTCTCTCTCTCCCCCTCTCCCTTTATCTCTCTCTCTAAAAGCATTAAAAAAAATCTGAACACTAACATTAAGAGAACTTAAGTCCTGGGCAGAACAAATTATAAATCTGTGTCTATTATGACAATTATAGTGGGGGAGAGTAGAAAGATTTAAAGGAAGAAAATATTTTTACACACAAACTAATAAAAGTGATACCTTGGGAAAACATATGTTCACAGGCAAAAATTATAAGACATTTGAGAAGTCCAGCCACTTAAAGCAAACACAAAAAAACCGACTCACCGATTAAAGAATCCAACTGTAGCAGATATATTGGAGTAAATAAATAAATAATATTAAATTAGACTAGTAAATACATTAAAAGGAGAAGATATGAAAAAGAACCAAGGGAAAAAACATATAACAAATGTGAGAAATCTAGTAGTTGAAATTTAAAAAAAATACATGATGTAAATAGCTGAATATATAAAATACTGCTGAGAGTAATTTTTGAAGACCTAAATAAATGGGGAGATATTATGTGGACTAAAAAGCTCTATATATTCACCAACAATTTTTCCAAAACTGACATATAGATTCAACTTAATTTAATCAAAATCCCAACATTTTGTAAATAAATGATTCTAATAAAGATGATTCCAAAATTTATATGGAAATGTGCAGTACCTACAAGCAGCTCAAACAACTTTAAAATGGAATAAAGTTGGAGGACTTAGTATCTGATTTCAAGACTTTTTATGAAGCTTCAATTATCAAGACAAAGTGATACTAACATAACATGGAAAAATATATCAATGGAATAGAATAGAGCTCAGAAACAGACTCACACATATATGGTCAATTAAATTTTCAGGTACCAAGGCAATTCAATGGGTTAATGGGATAATCTTAACAAATAAGAAACAATGGCTATCCTATATAACTAGAGGCCCGGTGTACGAAATTCATGCAGTGGGGGGGAGGGGAGGGTGTCCCTTAGCCCAGCCTGCACCCTCTCCAATCTCCAATCTGGGACCCCTTGGGGGATGTCCGACTGCTGGTTTAGACCCAATCCCTGGCCTAAACTGGCAGTCGGACATCCCTCTCACAATCCGAGACTGCTGGCTCCTAACCGCTTCTGCCTGCCAGCCTGATCACCCCCTAACCACTCCCCTGCCAGCTGATCTATGCCTAACTGCCCCCTGCTGGCCCAGTCACCCCTAACTGCCCTCCCCTGCCAGCCTGGTCACCCCCAACTTGCCCTCCCCTGCAGGCCTGGTTGCCCCCAACTGCCCTCCCCTGCCGGCCTGATCACCCACAACTGCCCTCCCTGGCCGGCCATCTTGTGGCTGTGGGTACCACCATCTTTGAGGGTGTGGCAGTCAATTAGTAAATTCCCTCCTTATTGGCTGTGGGCACTGCCATCTTTGAGGGCATGCAGTAAATTAGCATATCCCCGCCTTATTGGGTGTGGGAGTTGCCATATATGAGGGCGGGGCAGTCAATTAGCATATTCCCTCT